GCGCCCACACCTGCAGGTGGCTCCGTGTGTCCGGGCAGCGCTCGTTGTCCAGGCTATTGGCCCGCTCGTTCTGTGGACGCGCCGGCTGCCGCTCCTTCAAGGACGTGCTCCGGCCCCGGCGGCCAGCCTGCTTCCCCTCGGACCTGTGGGGGACAGGGCAAGCTGGGGCAGGCACGTTCACTGCCCAAGGGAAGGGGGACGCTCATCGGTGGGGACAGCTAAGAATGGTCAGTGTCAGCTGGAGGGCAGCAGGGCCATAGGCCACACAGCCCAACCTCAGGGGGCCCGGCAGCCACGGCCTAAGGTCCAGCCTGTGCCCTGGCCCCTGGGTACCCTAGTGGGGCCTCATCCACAGCTGCTTCCTTGTCCTGAGCAGGGCAGACACGAGGGAGCTCAGGGCCCCCTGTGAAGACAGACCCCCACCCTGGGACAAGCCCGGTGCAGGCCAGTGCCGGCATCCTGGCACTCAGGTAGCCCTCTGTCCTGACAAAGGCCTCTGTGCACCCCCACCAGGTAAATGCCAGCACCCAGAGCCACTGCTTCTGGAAAAATCCTGCACAGAAACCTAGGTCTGGCAGAAACGGGCTGACTCTCATGCCCAGGGCGGGGGCTCCCATTGGGTGAAAATCCAGGGGGAGGGTTCAATACTGAATCCTGGGTTCATGCTGGGTTTTATTTCTTGTTTCTCCTGTGAGTGGATCTGCACGGGGTGGCGGGGCAGGTGGTGGGCAGTGAGGGCGGATTGTGGGGTGAAGGACTGACGTGGGGCACACACACTGTGAAACTAGGGCGTGAGGCCTGATGCAGCACGTGAGTGTCAGCTGCCCGGGACTGTGGCCCCGTGGCTAGCCTTGGCAAGGAGTGACCCCGGGCGCCCAGGGAAGGGGCAGCAGAGCGGGGGCGAGGGCTGTGGCCCAGATCTGACCAGGGCATCAGAGGGCTGAAGAGGGCACGTGACAGACCCAGAAGACTGTCCTCCACCAGGAAGCCACCAAGTCCCCACAACTCAGACTCCAGCTCTGATGCTTGCTCACCAGCCGTGGGCCCCCCCAGGAGGCAGGGCCTTGGGGCCCCGGCCCTGCCGCCCGCCCCACAGAGGCCCCGTGCTGGACGCCACCCCGCTCCCTGAGGGCTGTGCCCACCTGCACGGGTGCTTGGCCCACTCTCCTTGGAGCCTCACCCGTGGGCCCCACAGGACCTGAGGGCCAGGTCCAGGAGAACGGGAGAGAGAGACAGGAGGACCGTCCCTGCCCTCGGAGCAGGCAGCTGCACCTCGGCCCAGTCAGACCTGCAGGTGGCTAGTTGCAGACGGAGGGGTGTGGGGGTCCAACGTGGACCTCCAGGGATGGGCCTGGAGACCCATGTATTTCCCCAGTGATTCTCACTGCGTCAGACGGGCCCTGCCCCAGTGGGGCATCCACACTCCCTCCTGCACCGGCCCCTGTAGGCATCGCCTCCCCAGAGCGGCCGGTCACCTGGTGGAGGGGATGACCAGGGACTCTGTCTTTGTGATCCGCCCGCTGGGTGGCAGCTTCTCGGTGAACACGTCCAGCGCAGGGGTCTCCACCTCCGGGCTCTCCTCGGGCTGCGCTGGCTGCTCCCCGGCGGGGGGTGCGCTCTGAGGGGCAGAGGAGGGAACCGTGGGGACACACTCCTGTGCCCAAGGGGCCTTGGTTTGGGAGAGGGTGTTCAGGCCTCTAACGGGCGGGCAGCTCCTGGCACGTGGACAGGGCTCTGACCGCTCCTGGGATGGGGTAACTCCAGGGGGCCCCTCATTGTGGTTCTACACACAGGCCCTGGGCAGTGGAAGCAAGAGGACCTGCCTGTGGGGCCTGCCCTGCCCGGTCAGGGGTCAGACCCTGAATGCAGCCTGTAAGTGGGTTCTGTGCCAGCCCACAGGTGTGAACATGGCCCTTTGCCTGCTTACGTGGGCCACTGAGTCGGAGATGCTGTCACTTGGCTGCTTGCCTCCCAGGGCCCGCGTCCTCTCGGGCACGTCAGCCTGTGTGGACAGGATGGAAAGGAGTCAGGCTGTGCTCAACAGGGGTGCCGAGACTGGGTCACCTTTGGGCAGGGGGTTCCAGGCTCACAGACAGCTTGGGGAGACTGGCTGGGATTCCTGACTGTGGGCTTGGGGTTGCCCCAGGAAAGTCACCCAGCTGCAGGCAGGGGACAGGGAACAACCCAAAAGTGCACTGAGCTTCAGGTTTGTCCAGCACTGATTCATGTGTAAGTGGCACCCCGAGTGACTCCGACAGGCAGAGAGGACCGGGACATCCCGAGGGTCCCGGCAGGAGTGTGGGCTGCCTGAGTCGGGGCCGCTCACCGGACTCGGAGGCTCCTTCTGGCTCCGGGCACTGTGGGTGCTTCCGATCTCTGTCTGCGAGCTGGAGTGGGACAGACCTTCGAAGTACGGCCTGAGTGGTGGGGACAGAGAAGGGGTCATTCCCAGTCCCCTCCCCATTGAAGGTGCAGCCACTGGGCCTGGTGGGGGGTGGGATGCAGAGCAGGGCCCCCACCCTGGAGGACCACGGCATAGGCAAGGACACTGGGCGCCCACTGCCCCCTAGCTCCTCCATCCACCCTCAGAGCAGCCAAGAAGACCTGTACCCCGAAACCCCATCCAATGTCAGCTCTAGCCCTGGAGAGTGGCCAGCATGCACAGCAACTGCAGGACAGCCCTGTTGGAAGGGTGTCCAGTGGAGCCCTGGGGCCCCACGGCCAGCCGGCAGGAACACAGGAGCACACGGACAGCCCAGTGAGGACGCCATCGCCAGGCACGGGCAAACCCAGGTTGCACGTCCCGCCCAGCAGGTAGCGACACGTAGGCAGCAGAATTAAGGTCCAGCTAAAATGAGGGGCGGGACTACTGACGGTAAAGCCGTGGGGGGACGTGGTAACGTGACCACCGTGAGCAACAGGCAGGACTGGGACCCTGCTGGCCAGGGACTCACTCCGCAGGTGCAGCTGACGCCACGGAGCTACAGGCGGGGAGGTGAGGGGGACGGCCTGGGCCAGCCGGCAGCTGCTGTAACAGGGGCTGGTCGAGACCTTCTCCAGTGAAGGGAAAGGGAGGTCAGAGGGGTCCGCAGACTGAGGACCGTGGCTGCACATGCTGGCCTTGAAGCGGGACCCCTGTTCTATACCCACCTGGCCGAGCCTGAGACCAGTGCCCAGAGCCCCCAGGAGGCCAGCGGCCAACACCCTGACCTGATGTCAAACTCCAGGAGTAACTGGGCACCGGTCAGCGGCCCAGGGAACTGGTGCCTGAGGTGGGGCCAGGCCGGCACAGGTCTGGGAGGCAGCAGTATGGGCTGGGGGCACGTGACAACATGGCACACCCTTTCTTGTGTGTGCTTCTGTCTTACTGATGCTTGTTTTAAGAAGTTTGAAAACCAAAGGGTCCACAAACCTTCCTGACTCTGACTCAGACCTTCCCTCTTCCTGCCCAGCCCAGCCTCAGGGCTCCCCACCTTCCCCGGGACTCCTTTGGGGTGGACACCCTCTGAGGTTCCCAGCAGGCCTGCCTCTCTGTTGAACAGGGAGCCCTGTGGCCCCGCATGCTCTGGTCCCCTCCTGGGACGGCCCAGCCAGCACCCCCTGCTCAGCCCACCTCCCACCTGCCCCACGCCCAGAGCCCTGGCCTCCCACACAACCTCCCAGCCCGCCCCTCCCTCCCCGACCCAGCGGCCCCCACAGGGCTGACCTCAGCCGCCTCCTCACCGGTCTCCCTCTTCGTGTTCCCAGCAGATTCCAGAGAGAGATTCCCGAAAGCAAACGCAACCCTGCGACTCTGCCACTTCTCGCTCCCCAGGAGCTCTCTCAGGGCCTGTGTCCCCCCGCCCCCGAGGGCCTGCCCACCTGAGCTTCGGCTTGGGGGTGCTGAGAACGCTGTCGTCGTCCTCCATGTCGGGGCCACTGTCGCTGGGGTGCTCCATGTCCAGCGTGTCGTACAGGAGGTCCAGGTCCTCCTCCACCTCGGGGACATGCTCTGCAGGGTCCTGCTCCGAGTCCAGGACCTACAGTGAGGTCAGACGGGTGAGGCTGGCCTGACAGGAAGGGGCGTCTGCAGGACAGACAGGTGCACAGCCACCAAGCACCCTTCTTCCAGCCTTGTTATTCCAGACCCAGAGGTGTCCCTGGGGGACCTTAGGTCGCGGGGTGCTGGGCGCGGTGTGGCTGTCCTTCCCAGGTCACACACAGACACAGTGTGAGCCTTTGCGTGGCACCGTCACAATCGGGCCAGAAAAGGCTGCCCTCCCCAGGGCGCCCCTGCCCCCTCACAGTGCCCCCAGGCCCCGGGCGCCAGGTCTTGTGCAGGACGGCACAGAACTGCAATCACATGGCGGCAGCCTTCTCTTGCTCGGCGTGATGCATGTACGGAAAGGACGACCTGGGGCCGTTCTGTGTTTGCTGCTCCACACAGAGCTTCTGTGACCATCTCTCGTGGGACTGCTGGGCGTCTGGCAGGCATATTTCACTTTTTGAAGAACTGCGGGCCTGTTTTCCAAAGTGGCTGCACCATTTTCTGCTCCCCCAGCACGTGTGAGGGTTCCAGTCACGACACAGCCTCTCCAGCACCGATTTTCCGCGCTGACGACAGCCACCCTGCTGGGTACTAAGTGGTGTTTCGCGGTGGCCCTGACCTGCCTTCCCTGATGCCTGGAGGCGACGAGCAGATCAGGTGCTTATTGGCTTTTTGCATTTCTTTTTTGGAAAAATACCTAGTCAGAGCCTTTGCCCGATTTTCTTTCCTTTGCCCAATTTTTAAAGTGAACAATTAATTTTTCATTGCACTGCTTTGTTTTTGGGCTGTCAGAGTTCTTCACACATTCTGGACACAAGTTCCTTGTCAGCTGTGTGATGTGCAGACAACCTTCCCCGTCCGACGGGCTGCCGCTCCGCCCTCTGCCAGGAGCGCGGAGGCTCCAAACCTCAGTGCAGCCCCACTTGCCTGTTTTCCCTTTCTTTGCTGGTGCTCTTGGTGCCGTATCCTAGAAACTGTTGTCTGACCCAGGCCACAAAGATTCACTTTTAGGTTTCCTTCTAAGAGTTTCACAGTTCTCGCTCTGGCCCACTGGGAGTTACTTCTGTGCACGGTGTGAGGCAGGGTCCCACTTCACTCTTTGGCAGAGTTCCAGCTGTTCCAGTACTAGTTGCTGAAAAGGCCAATCCCCACCCCGTCCCACCCCCCGGAACGCTTTCGGCATCCTGTCGGAAGCCAGCTGACCACGAACAGAAGGGTTTGTATCTGGACCCCACCTTCCTTCTCTGCCCCGTCACGCCGTCTGGTCACGGTAGCTTTGAGCAAGTTTGGAAAACAGAAGGGGCGAGTCCTCCAGCTTTGCTCTTTGTCAAGACTGCTTTGCTTATCCCGGGCCCCCTGCCTTTAGGCATGAGGGTTAGGACCACCTGGCTGATTTCTGCAGCAAGGCGTTGGCGATCGGACAGCACTCGTGTTGAATCTGTAGACCAGCCTGGGGAGGACTGTGGCCGAGACAGGCCTGCCTTTAGCACCTGTGTCTAGAGCGAGCCACTGGCCCCGCCACTGCTGCTTCTGAGGGCGCAGCCTCCCTGTGCGCGGGTGCTCGGCCGCGGGGTCCATGCTGTCGTGACCGCGTGAGAGGACAGCGCCTCTGGGGCTGAGACACCTACACGCCACCTCTCCTGGCCGGGGGGAGGGGGAGCCCAGAACCTGGGGACGGATTTTCTTCTGATCACATTAAAAACAACAGGGTATTTTTCTTCTGGTTGTAAAAGTTATACAAACTCATCATAGAAAATCTGGAGACTGAGAAAAGGCTAAAACAAGTTTCTTCTTTCTTTCTTCCTTTTTCTTTCCTTTCTTTCTTTTTTTCTTTTTGCAGGGGGGAGGTAATTACATTTATTTAGTTTGTTTTTTCGATGGAGGTACTGAATCCAGGACCTTGTGCACGCTAAGCATGCACTCTACCACTTGAACTATACCCTCCCTCCAAAAAAAGTTGTTTTTAAAACACACAGTATATTTATTGATGGTGGGGGGGTGGGGTGCTGTGTGTGAGGTGACGGGGGCACATGGAGACTCCACTTCCTGCTCGGTTTTGCTGTGAACCTAAAACTATTCTAAAATTTAAAGTCAATTTATAAAAAAAAAACAAAAACACGAACAGAAAAACCTGTGGTCACCCCCAGAGACAATGCTGGCCTTCCTCCAGGTCTGCTCATCAAGTTGTAATTCAGGCAACATAGTGGCACCTCCTGGGGCCCCTGCTGGCCCCTCAAGGGTCCCCGGGGTTGGGGGCACCACCATCACCCACTCTCTTGGGCAAGGACAGCGATGTTCAGAGGACCACGAGGACAGCAGCAGCAGAGCCAGGACCTCTCCCAGAACTGGCCTCCAGAGCCCTCCCCCGACCCAGGACGCTGTGGGCCTTGAGTTGGGGGGGGGCACTCACTCACCTCATCGGAAACTTTAAACCTCCGCAGCAGAGCCACGACTTTCTGCTTGAAGTTTTGTTGCTGCAAGACAAGCAGAGCAGGGTCAGAACCCAAGCAGCTGCTTCCCCCAGGAAAGCGTGGCAAGGCCGGCGCCTGGGCTGCTGCGGCCCCAGCTCAGACCCGCCGCGACGCTGGCGGACTCTCCTGTGGCTCTCAGCACTTGAACAGCGGTGTTTTCATCAGCATTTGAACCTACGGCTGAGGCCAGACTTCAAGGAGGACCCAGGCGGAGCTGACAGCCCAGAGCTGGTGAGGGGAACCAGGCGGAGGGTGTGTGCCACATCTGTGGCTCTTCCAGAAGCCTCTGTGCACATGAGGCTGTCCGGCCCTTCCTCCCTGGGACTTGCTGGCAGGGGCTCAGTGGGAGCCCAAGCTCCATCTGGCCCTGGTGCCGCCCTGCACCGCAGAGGCTCAGCTCTGGCCACTGGCCGCTGACCAAGATGGTCACTCAGCCACCCTCAGAGGCTGACCCTACAAAGGGAGACCCACACTCCCCACTGCAGAAGCTGGGCACCCGGGTCCTGTAACTGAGGCTCAGACAGAGCTGCCCCAGCAGGTGTGGGCTGTGCACGTGGCCCAGAACATGCACTGCACTCAGTGTATCGGGACCACCCATGACTTCCCAGCACTGCCAGACAGGGGCAAGGTTTTGGGGGCTTCCCTGGCCGCGCTCCGCCCTGGCCTGGCCTGAGGCCATGGCCCGGCACGGAGAGCTCTTCCAGGAGCCCTGGGTGCCCAGTGGTGGACATCCCATGATGGGCTGTGGCCCCTGCCTGGACTTGCCTCTTGGAGGATAAGCCCCTGAGGCCATCTGCCCAGAACAGAGACAGGGTGCAGGCCTCACAAAGGATGTGTCTGGGCCAAACAGGCAGCGGCCTGGGCAATGAGGAGGCAGCCCACCTGCCCACTGCCCTCTAGGCCTGTGTCAGAGGGACGCCCCACCTGGCTCCCGCTTGCCAGTGAGGCTCTGACAATAGCCGGACGCCTCGCAACCCCTCCAGGGCACGGCCATAGCCTGGAGTCTCCTGCCCTCACACCATATTTGGGGAAAGACTGGACCTCAGGAGAAGCCATAGAGCTGGGCTGCTGGGAACGGCACGGTACCCACTGTGACCCCAGAATGGGCGCCTCAGGTCCTGACCCACCCCTCCTGAGAGCTCAACTGGCCAGCGCCCCTGTGCCCCAACCCAGGCCCGCCCCCCCTCCCCCCCAGGGTTAGTAAAACCAGTTTCCACCGACCCTGGTCATGGACGTCGTTCTTACTAGCGATCGCCGCTGCTTCTTGGGTTTCCCCACATCAAAGTCGTCCTCGTCCAAATCCTGCAGAGATGTGCAGTGCCTGAGCCTGGGGCTGCCCGCGTAGTGCCCCTGGGACCCTTCTCCCACCACCTATGGATGGGCGGCTTCCCTGGGCGGCTCAGGGAGGGGCTGGGCTCCCAGGCGCCCCAGCTGTCTGCTGATGCACTCCCAACCCCGGGGACGGAGAATGGGGCACGGGGGACGGGGGACAGGGGAACGAGGCTTGGCACATGGGGGCCAGGCTCCCAGCCTCTCACGCCCCGTGCTGCCCTCCTGATGGTAGCTCTGGAGGGTCCTGGGCCCAACCACTGGGGGCTGCGCAGCTGCTGGGGGTCTAGGCAGGAGCCCTGAGGCCAGTGTGTCCCCCCAGCCCCGGTTACCTGCCCTTGCACGGCGTCGTCGCTGGCCTCCTGCTCAGAGGAGAAGCTCTCGTACTCCTCCTCGGAGTAGTTATCTGCGGAGCAAGCACATGGAATGGAGGGCTCCTCGAGGTTCCGGCCGGTGTCCCGGCAATGAGGGGTGCCCTCGTGATGGCCCCTGGTCGTGCAGGGAACCGCGACAGCCCAGCGGCCATGGGGATGGAGGCCAGATGGCCCTGGCAGGTGGACGGATGGGGGCGGAGGCAGCTGCAATTTGCCACCGCCACATGCCCACCCCCACCTCACAGTGGCCACTACAGCCCTCCTTGCCCATCATGAGGGTCAGCCTGGATCTTGTGCTGGACTGGGTCCCCATCTGCCCTTCCTCACCTCAGGGGACAGTGACAACTGTGGCGGAGGCGACAGCCCATGCCAGGACTGTGCCCAGACCCTGGAAGGCACTGTGGTCGACTCCAGACCTGATTACTGACGACGTCACAGTGCGAGGGCAGCGGCCTGGACCCCGGAAGCCCAGAGAACAGCCCGCACTCCCTGACTTCTCAGCCTGCAGGATGGCAGCCAGGACGTGGCAGAGATGCTGCCCATCACTGCACTCACCCGTGGACTTGGCCTTGGGGCCGGCCTGCATGGTGCTGTCCTCATGGTCGATGGGCTGGCTGGACAGGGAGAAGATCCAGATCTCGGCCACCTTGACTGAGGCCTCCTTGATGTCGCTGCAGAGGCCTAGCACCTGGCCACCCTCGGAAGGGTGCTGCATCACCTGCGGGCAGGGCATGGTTCTGGAAGCACACTGGAGCAGGACCAGCGCCCTGGAACCCCCCAAGGCGCAGGTGCACATGTCAGGGTTTTTGACGGGCTTTCGTCAGTGCTGACTTAAGGGGCCACACCTCAGCGGGGCAAGCTCTGGTGCAGAGGGCAGGAGGTCAAGAGGAGACCCGGGAGAAGGGTGGATGGGTCCAGAGGGAGCACGCGGGGCTGAGCTGGTGAGGTCAGCGGTAGGCTCAGCCCCTAAGGACTGAGGGCTGTCGGAGGCGGGGGGTGGTCGGCAGCAGCAGTGTGAGGTTGTGCTGTGGGCTAGCCCAGACCCTCGGGATTCCACTCTAGGGACCCGTGTCCAGGAGGGACCACAAAAGGCAAATGGGCGAGGGCCCGGCTGGAGTCCGACTCAGCTAGGCGGTGGGGTGTGGGTGTGGGTGTGGGTGGTGGGGCCGACGCTCTTGGAACCACAGTAGGAGCCCAGGAACACCTACTCTTCTCTCTCCTTTACAGAGGAGGGTGGGAGAGAAACTGGGCCTCTGACAGAAGGCCACCCATCTGGGCTGGGCTGGCGGTGCCCTGAAGGACAGAGCCTGCATGGCCAGTGACGACAAAGTGGCACCTTTGAGCCTCCTCTGAGCCCAGTAACAGCCTGGAGGTAGGAAGCCCAGGGTGGCCAGAGCCCCTGGGCCAGTGGAGGGCACAGCCAGGGCCCCGTGGAGTCCAGGCCCCACCTGTTTGCACCACTCTGTGGTCCAAGGACCAGGAGGCTTGGCTAAGGCCTGATCGCACCACAGAGAAGCTCAGACCCAGCTGCGCACTCCACGCACCCTGACTGCTCTGAGCGTCCCTCGAGGCAGAGGCAGCTGGGAGGGGCCGAGCCAGAGCACCAGTGCGCTTTTCCTGGACGGGCAGGTGGGCAGTGAGGGCCTGCGGGGACACAGGAGGCGCTGGGGAAGGGCTGAGGGGCTCAGGGGGCAGCGTGGGGCAGGGCACCTGCAGGGACACCCTTCCTGGGAGGGCAGAGAAGCGAGGTCTGGCTCACCTCGGCCATGTTGATGGAGCCGGCCGCCAGTGTCTTGTAGCCCAGGATGGTCCGGTTCTTATACCGCTTTCTTCGCTGCAGCATGATCTGAAGCTTGTTGCCTTCTCTTTTCAGGAAGTGGGGATACTGCAGGAGAAGGGGGGGTCACAGCCACGCAGACGGCCAGGCCCACCGACACTCATGAGGTCTCGCACGCCCTGGCATTGGTCCACATGAACAGCCACTGGTGGCAGTTGTGCGCCACATGCGCAGGCCCTCCCCTGGGGAGGGGCCCACGTGCATCTGCGGAAGTGCAACAACTGCTCAGGGGCTCATCTGTTGGAAGTCCAGGGGGCAGTGACCACCCTGCACCCTCGCAACGTGGGGGCAAGGAGGAGGTGCCCCGGCCGGCGGCGCGCTGGCCAGGCCCCCCCCCCCCCGCAGGGCAGGGCAGGGCCTTCAGACTGCACAAAGCAGACCTGCACAAGTTTTCCTTCAGGGTCACAAATAAAAACCTGCCCTCCGCCTTGACTGCGATGGTCGTTACACACCTGTGCCCCTTTGCCAAAACCCACGGAACCATAAACTTAAAAATGGTGACTGGTAGGTTTTGTAAATCATGCTCCAATAAACCTGACTGCCCCGACTCCCGCCCCAACAGAAGAAAAGTCAACACAAAAGCCAGAAGCTGCTGCGGGTCAGGGCCGGCGTGAGGGGGCCTTGGAGCAGGGCGGGAGGTGGGCTGGCAGGGCCCCTAAGCCCTGTCCCGCACACCGAGGGCAAGGGAGGAGGCATTTCACGGGCCTGTGATGCACCGGTACTGAACAGAGGATTTCCCTCGAAAGCAAGCGTGCTAAGCAGGACGCTGCCGAGTCTAAGGAGCGCCCACCTCGCACTCGACGCTCCCCGGGAGCTGTTCCACACGGGCCGCGGGCCCGGCCTGGCGGCCGTTCCCCGCCAGCACACCCCGGCCGCCTCCGCTTGCTCCGCCCCATGACCCAGCCT